GGAAGAAAAGAGGGAAGAAGGAAGGAAGGAAGGAAGGAAGGAAGGAAGGAAGGAAGGAAGGAAGGAAGGAAGGAAGGAAGGAAGGAAGGAAAAGTAGTGCTGAGTGCTTGCTGCATGTTTAGCATAATCACATACCAGGCAGAGGAGCCCCTAAGGTGAGCTCCTTGGCTGTTCCTAGTAGCCCAGCCATGGATAGAATCCCCCCATGTGAGTCAGATGTCTTTTGCATATGTTAATGGCCTTTCTGGCTGATTTTAAGAACAAAATTGTGTCTCTGAAGCATGCATCACAAGAGTGGGCAGTTCACACAACAAATTAAAGCAGGCTCACAAAAAAAATGTTCCTGCCTGGTACCTGTGGTGTTCAGAAAAGGGTGTCTGTTAGTTATTTAGCTGTGTTGTGTTCTTACCCTGCAAGGAAACGTCACGAAACATGACAGAATCCGCTTATAAGAGTTTATTGGAAATACAGGGATAGAGAGTGCGCAGGCCTGTGGGAGAGACACGTGCATGGAGAAGGACTGGGAAACATGGCGCTCCACTTTTAAAACGGGCTGGGGGCGTGGCCAGGTCACGTCACTACTCCACGCGTGTGTGTAGATCACATGGTCACGTTGCGCGCTTACGTGACCATGTAACGTCACAGACCCTGATCACGCGAGACCCCTTGGCCCAGAACTTGCTAGGCGGAGATATCCGGGCCCACCGGGTATCCTAGCTACGAGAGACGCCTTGATCCGGAAATGGCTAGGCGGAAGTGTCCGCCTGGTAAATGCGACCGTGTTGTAAACCCTTCAGTGTCAGATCCCTCAAATTTGAATTATGGATGGTTATGAGCCGCCATGGGTGCTGGGAACTGAGCTGAGTAAGTGCTTTTAACCGCCAAGCCTTGGCTCCAGCACCCATGTATGGTTTATTAACCTTTGTCATGAATCAGATGGCTGTAGGGATTTACTTCTGGATTTCTCTGTCATTGTCATTGTTCTGCATACCTGTTTCTATGCCAGTACTATGTGATTGTGTTTCTATGACTCTATAATGTAATTTGAAATTAACTAGTATGATATTGCATTGCTATTGTTTTTTCAGGGTTGCTCAAGGGTCTTTTGTTCTTCCTCATGATGTTTTAAAATTGTTTTATGGGACCAAGAGGTGAGTGACTCTTGTCCCAGCTGGAGAGTCCTGTCTCTAGGACCTGGGTCCTGAGGCACAAACGTGCACCTTCCCCCCAACCCATTGCTGCCCCAGTTGTCAGCCAGTAGGGAACACTCCAGGGGGCAGACCTCCCTACCAACACGCCCCAGGGGACCCTGCAATATACAAGACCCACTCCCTCCCCCAAACCCACCTATCCATCTGCGACCTCAGTGGCGCCCTAAGACACAGAATCCGCCAGTTCTGATTGGAGCAAGAGCTCTGACTGGACCAAGAATGGCCCCCAAAACACAGATACCTCTTGCACCAATTGGAGAAAGAGATGGGTAGACACCAGTGCAAGAATACATTCAACAACAATAAAGAGCAATATGGCACCACCAGAACCTAGTAGTTCTACAGCAGCAAGACCTGAACATCATAACAGAAGAAGCAGAATAAAACGACCTTAAAAATAACTTTATGAAGATGATAGAGTTTTTAAAAAAGAAAATGAAAAATTCCTTTAAAGGAATTGAGGAAAAGACAAACAAAAAATTAGAAGAAATCAATAAATCCCTTAAAGAAAGCCAAGAAAAAGCAATCAAACAGGTGAAGGAAACAGTCCAAGACCTGAAAACTGAAATAGAAGCAATGAAGAAGACACAAACAGAGGGAATGCTGGAAATGGAAAATCTGAGTAAATGAACAGGAGCTACAGATGCAAGTATAACCAACAGAATGCAAGAAATGGAAGAGAGGATCTCTGGCATGGAGGACACGATAGAGAAAATAGATTCATCAGTCAAAGAAAACACCAAAGCCAAAAAAGTCATAACACAAAACATCCAGGAAATCTGGGACACCACAAAAAGGCCAAACCTAAGAATAATAAGGATAGAAGAAGGAGAAGAATACCAAGCAAAGGCACAGAGAATATATTCAACAAAATCGAAGAAGAAAACTTTCCCAACCTATAGAAGGAAATGCCTATGAAGATACAAGAAGCTTACAGAACACTGAATAGACTGGACCCAAAAAAAGTCCCCTTGCAAAGAGAT